GGGAAGAAGGAAGGAAAGGAAAGAGGGAAGGAGGGAGGGAAGGATGGATGGAGGAAGGGAGGGAGGGAGGGAGGGAAGGAGGGAGGAAGAGAGGGAGGGAAAGATGGAGGGAGGGAGGGAGGGAGGGAAGAAGGAGGAAGGAAGGAAGGAAGGGAGGGAGGGAGGGAGGGAGGGAGGGAGGGAGGGAGGGAGGGAAGAAGGAGGAAGGAAGGAAGGAAGGAAGGAAGGAAGGAAGGAAGGAAGGAAGGAAGGAAGGAAGGAAGGAAGGAAGGAGTAGGCAAAGGTGAGTACAGTGGGGCATGCTGCAGACTGGAAAAGAGGCATCCTCATGAGCAACCCAGAGAAAATTCAAGAGAGAAGAAGGCACAGCGAGCATGCAGGATTAGCCTCAGTGAGACAATAAGCAACACAGAAACTCTGGAGTTCTGCTCAAGCAGGGCTATGTGAGCCAGGAGGCAGAATCTGAGAACTAACTCTTGTCTGCCTCTACACATTCTGAGGATGGCCGAGCACCCCCAGGCTCTTCCTGAGTCCTTTGTTTAGAATCCTAAGAGCCCTTTTACCCGTGCCTACCAAGGAGCAGAGCTGAGATCTTACGTTAATAAGTCCTCTACAGAACAATAGATTAAAAGGTAGAACTGGAATAGTCCAGAATGTCTGAATATTCGCTTACCTTTGGGCAGTGAAATTTTAACCCCCCCCCCCCCCCGCGCCCAATGCTCGCCCATCCCCCCTCCCAAGACATTGTGCCTGGAAATTCTTGGCTGTGGAGAAGCCACAGAAATGCTCTAAAGAGAAGAGAGATGAATGGCGCTGGATAATGGATGCTGGGTGAACACTGGCTCTCAGCAACTATACTGGGTCCTTATTGTATACATACGAATCTTATCAATGAACAGCACCATATGCATATACAAGGCTTTTTTTTCCTTGGGGGGGTTGTATATTAGTGTTTTCCTCTCAATTAACTTCTAGGCAATTTTCCCAGCTAAATGCATAACATCATTGGCAAGACGCCAAACAAAACCTTAAGACCCAACACTAAATTCTGCACTTATACAGGCAGCTTAGATTTTCATGTGGTGAACTGGAAGCATGCCAGCTCCTTCCACTGTAAACCCAGCAGTGGGAAAGCTATATATTTTTTTTATCAAGAAATTCTACTTTAGATTTCCAAGACCACTAGAAAATTGTACAATTTTAATGTGCCTTTTAGACAAAATAAAAGAAAGATTTAACCTGCTATTAAATTAACCCAATTAGCTATTTATTCCATGTAACCTTACACTTTGGAGGCTGTTAAATCAAATAAACTGGCAGTGAATGAATTTTTTTGTGAATTATGGAAATTGTGAGATGCATTCTAGACAATACGTTCTTATGACTTTTCCTACCCCTTTTCACTGCAGCAAGATTATCAGAATACTTACTTAAAATATTTTATTTTTGTTATTTTTTTTGCATACAAAATGAAATTACCTAAGATACAAGGAAGGGCCCAGGGAGAAGTGGCTGGGAAATAAACCAGTACAGGAAAGCTAAGAAAATAGAACTTTCCACACTAGCCATCCCGTGGAGGCCTTGTCTACAACCTCTCAATCTTTGCTCTCAGCTGTACTTTCTTATGAACACTCTATGCAACACTTGCTCTTGTTAAAGGTGGCACTTTTCAGAGTCCTAACTGTAGTGGGAAGCTTTGGGTCCCAGTCAAGCTTTGTCAATTTTAGCTTTAGAACCAAACTCTAGGGTTTTGAGTTCCTGTCAACTGGGATCTTCGAGAAGAGCAAAAAGCATGGTTTCAGGAACTTGCATAGAGTTTAACAAACCTGCCTTAGCTCAAATGAAAGGTTTTGGCAAATAGCTTTTAGATAATGTGAGAGCCTGTCAACCAGAAACATGTGGGTTAAATTTCCGTGGAAATACCCATGAAGATGGCATGGCCAAACACATTTGGCCCAACCAAAAAGAAAAACTGCTAGACCAAATATATATATAAAGCTGTTTGTCAAACTAACAGGACCTATTCTCCATATTAACCAGTTATCATTAAAAAAATTGTTTGATAGAATTTCCTACATAGCTGCATGTTTTTGGAAACAGGATCAAAACAGAAGGATTTTATAACTCCCATATAAAAAAAAAGCATAAAACATACGACTCTCTATGTTTGTCTACATTACTTTAGAGCATACCCTGTGGGGGTACCCACTTGTGCCCTTGGAAAGGTGCACCGTGTTTCCTGTCAGAAAAAGTCTTTTCCCCCTTTTTTTTTCTTTTTCTTTTTATTGAGCTCTACGCTTTTCTCTAATCCCCTCCCTACCCCTCCCCTTCAACTCTCCCCCCAAGGCCCCCATGCTCCTAATTTACTCAGGAGATCTTGTCTTTTTCTACTTCCCATGTAGATTAGCTCTATGTATGTCTCTCTTTGGCTCCTCATTGTTGTCTAGGTCCTCTGGGATTTTGATTTGTGGGCTGGTTTTCTTTGCTTTATGTTTAAAAACCACGTATGAGTGAGTACATGTGGTATTTGTCTTTCTGTATCTGGGTTACCTCACTCAAAATGATGTTTTCTAGCTTCATCCATTTGCCTGCAAAATTCAGGATGTCATTAGGTAAAGTCTTTTATAAGTCAGGATACTGGATAAAGGACAAATGGAAGGACAAATTTTCTACTTATGTAAGTGGTTATGGCTTCAGAATTACCATACAGATGACAGATAGTTAAAACCCACCTACATACCAGAAGACTATGAAAAATGATGTCCAAGAACACCACAGTGTTCAGAAGCTGAAGACATTGATTGCAGAAAAAAAAAATGCTGATGTATGCCTTGGTTTCCAACAACTTTTAAGAATAGAACTGATTTTCTTTGTCAAAAATCAGAAAATAAGAAGAATAGAACTGATGGCTCCTTATGCCTGGTCAGCACTCTGAGTTTTGCCAGCAACTCCAACCTCTGAAAAATAACAAGAAAGAAGAAAAAGTAAAACAACCATCTCTAGCATCTTCCACACTGTCCTACTGTAGATCTGTCACCTTTGCCTTCTCTCTGTCTAGACAAAGGTCAATTCAGTACCATGTATATGTAAGTCCTATATTTGAAGAAAATATGAAAAGCAAAGTCTAAATACAGATAAGTAAAAGTGCAGAAAATCAGTAAAAGGAAAATGGACAAAGAAGATAAGGATGTAAAAAAATGAGAGAATGAAGGAAGGAAAGAAGAGAAGGAGGAGTGTGGGGACGATATTCTGCACAGGGCACTTAGGAAATGGAGATGGGAATGTTTAATAAACACTTGCTATAAGTTTTACTGTACACATGCCATTTTCCCTCTATGTTACATCTAAACTACTATCATAAGCTGAAACAATCATGATTGCATGGTGTGGTGGACGTAGACGTGGTAACAATTGTGATGCAGCATTAGAACAGCATTCAGGAACTTTCTAAGGGATAAAGGTTACAATTGGGAAAAAAAAGAATCTACTCTGAGAAGCCTGCTAAATATTTCAGAAAAGCCGAGGGGAGTTATTTGATATTTAGAAAACACAACAGTTAACATGTTTACTATACAGAACTAAAATTTAGTAAATTTTTAAAGTACTAATAAAAGTATAATATTAGATATTATCAAGTCCCCTAAAAACCGTGGAGTAATGTCTAAAGTGAAGTAAGCTGTCTATGGTTTATTTTACAAATATTTTAAGAATTTATTGTGTCCACAGAATACATTTATACAACATATATTATATAACAGCTATGCATTATATTGCAAAATGTAATTTATAAAGAATGTAATAATATTAATATCTAAGATACAGTCTAAAAGTACATGATTTTGTAGAGTTGATATGTAATGCAAACTGTTTTGAAGTAAGGTGATTTTTTTGTGAATGGATAAATCTCATCATTGTGGATTAATTAATACATCAACAAGCAATTGAAAAATAATTCAAAAATATCCCTTTCTCTCTGTTCAGTAGAAAATTTTTTTTCTTCTTTAAGAGCAGTCTAGATAAAAAAAAATGGGACTGATTCATACTGCATATTATTACTTCCCAGAATTTGTGTCTATTTACATAAAATTAACATAATTTGACCAAACTTTTATTACAGTGTAAGAGTAATTTTAACCGTCTCACAGGACATGCAGCAGCAAGCTCTTAGGAAGGTTATTCTGTTGGGAAGGTGTAGACTATACTGGTGTTGATTACTAGCATGTAGGATGCAAAATTGCAGGGACAGAAACTAAGGGAAAGATAAAATGGCATTTAGTCAAAATTCCTGCTTTTTTTGTAAAAAAAAAAAATACAAAGAAGAGAGAATACAATTTGCTTTTAGGAAGACTTACTTTGATTTACATTGCATTTTTTCAAAGACCCACACTAAGTTTCCTTGGCAGTCTAAGTGGGTCTGCTTGCCCAGTGACAGACAGGCTGTCCTTGAGAGCCAAACCCACCAATTTCCACCTAGCCTGGCTGTGTATTAAAGTTGCATGCAGCAGATCCCTGAAGCATGCATGCCTCTGTCCGGGCTGTGAATTGTGTGAAACCCAGGATTGTGGCTATTAGGAATAAAAACGGATGTACAAGACCAAAATAAATAGGTATGTAAACAAAATGTGTAAGCTTCTCAAGTATAGAATTAGTGCCAGAATCCCATGTGGGCAGGTATGTCTGACAGCCCAAATCAGAATTTACACTGGAGGCAAATGAAGGCTGACAGCTGGTCTCCAACTCCAGTCACAATCAGCAGCGCGAGAGGAGGGGTTGCCTAAACTTGAATCAGAATCCAAAATTAGGGTCAAGCACACATGGAGGGGTAAGCCAGGGAGTCTATGGTGGGTAAGGCCTGAGGACAGGAGAAAGGCCAGGCTTGGCAGGTTCCCACTGGGGTTTTTAGAGGGCTCTGCAGATAAAAGGAAGCAGGAAATCAGGGGTGGGGGCAGGGTCAGCAGGGAACTGTGCCCTCATCCATCCAGGGCCACACCTGGCAGCCAGGCCCGCACCCTGGAGGGGTGAAGACACTGTAAGTGAAGTGAAAGCTTAGTAAATGGTAGCCCTCACAGGCAGACCAGCTCAACGCTGTTTGTTTATATAGAAATAGTACCTACTGAAACCCTAGTCACTTCAAGGAGGCTGTTTCTCAGTCTTGTTAGACATTTAGTTGTGTACAACCAACTATAATTTCAAAGAAAGAAAGAAAGAAAGGAGAGAGGGAGGGAGGGAATAAAGAAAGAGAAAGAAAGAAAGAAAGAAAGAAAGAAAGAAAGAAAGAAAGAAAGAAAGAAAGAAAGAAAGAAAGGAAGAAAGGAAGGAGAGAGGGATGGAGGGAGGAAAGAAAGAAAGAGAAAGAAAGAAGGAAAGAAAGAAAGAAAGAAAGAAAGAAAGAAAGAAAGAAAGAAAGAAAGAAAGAAAGAAAGAAAGATCTCATGGACTCATGCAGATGAGATGTTAGAAAATGTGTATTATTTCAAAACACTATTCTTCTATCTTTGCACTCAGTTTTTATTTATATCTCATGGTCCAAACTTAGTTTGCCATTTCCCACAGAGCTTAAAGCACAGGAGAAGCTTTCTCCTCAGCTTATGGAATTTCCAGCTGATTGGCCATCTGCTTCTGCTGCTCTTTGTGATTTGGGCTCCATCACCCCTGCAGCACTTCATGCACCCCACACGATTCTACCTGCAGCCATTTTTAAGAATAGGCCGTATTTCTAGGCTGATATTTCTTCCCTCAGTCTGCAGGTCTCAGACCAACAGGTGTGAAGCCTCAGAAACTGGGTTAAAGTGCTGTAGGGATTAGGAGAAGGAAGAGGTGGCCTCTGGAGCTTCCTGTGACTAAGATCAGTCACATCTTCCCAATCAAGACTCAATTCCATTTTTGTTTGGGAACCCTCCTCTATCATACCATTTGTATCAGTTGCATCTGTTTAAGTACAGTAATAACGTATCTATTTCTCTATCTTTTTTATGTCTGTCTATTTTCCTATCTCTCTACTCTATCTATCTGTCTGTCTGTCTGTCTTTGTTTATCTACCTACCTATCATCTATTTATCCATTTACCTATCTATATATCAATATTTAGCAGAGTATCTTTAATTAACTAATTAACCTACATATCTTTCAACTAGAAAATACTCTGTACCCATCTTTCCTTGGTACTAGTCTTACATGTTGTAATTATTCATTTGTAGCAGCTGTCTGTTAGTGGGTGGTTCCTGATTAGATGGATGGACAGATAGTTGAATAGGTGGACAGATGGATGACAAGGTAGAATATAAAGTTGAACATCATATATTGTTTATTTCTTGAATTCACAGCACATTGTCCATTTGTATGGAAGACAATGGGTCTGTTGCCCTTTTGTCTCACTTAGAAGTTAGGACTTTTTGATTTAAGTTACATTATTTAGAAAACAATATATTTCCTGCAATTTTCTTTTTGTAGAGCTACCTGCAGTAAAATGAACCCAGTATGTGAAAGTTTTAACCAAACTTTCACATCTAGTATTGGTGTATAATTGTCACTTCTACAATTCATAATCAACAGAGTTGTCATTGCCAGAGGAGGGGCAGCACTGTGGCATGACATGTTTTATATGAACAAAAGAAAAATGTTTATATAAAAAGGCCAAATAAGCATCGATTTGTAAGGACATCATAATTATTATTGTATACAATCTGAGATGTTTCCAGGATGTCTGACTACAAAATTATTCATTAATAGTTCACATATCTTTAACCTTATTTTAGAGTATGACTATCTTTACATATTTAAAATCTTATACATAGTTGATATTCATACTTTAGTAGCTCCTATGTAGAAACTGAACGTTTGCTCTATCATGTTTTGACAGTTTAAAAAAAAATTCATGCCTTCATCCAAAAAAATCCTTGATACAGTAGACTGGTTCTGGCATAGGTATCATAATTCAGAAATGTGTAAAAAAATGCTCAGAGAGAGCCATAGCTAATATCAGCGTCCTCACACATCGGATATAGAGCACCGCGGAGCTCATTGTAGCAGACCCTACACTATAATTACATTAAACACGTTTTAAATTATCATGATAATTTAAGACTGCAGCTTTGTTTGGGGCTTAGATTTTTCCATATTCGTTCTCACATGTGAATCATTTAAATGGCTGAAATAGAATCTTTTGAGCTGTTTTGAATTATATGAATGAAAGAAAATACACTTTCTCTACAAAACAAATTAAGACATTAAGAGATTCAAGTGAGACTGAATTTATGAGCTTGAAGTTTAGGGAGTAAATATGAACTTAAAAATATTTCCTGATTTCCTTTGAATCTGATTTACACTCACAAATGGATTAACTCTTCGCTACAAGCCTGATGAAATGATCAGAGGATTCAATGATCTTCATTTTGCTCTAAGGCAAATATTGTAGTTTAAGGGAACATCATAAAATACTTAGCAATCTGATATGTATTCATTTGTCTATGCTCTGCATACACCCCATACCAGGGGTGTGTAGGTACATGACTCTTCCTTTGAACATGATTGCTCCATTTATGTCTGAAGTATAATCACATAAACTGCACAAGCTAAAAACATTAATCACCCAGAGAGGAAGTCCTATTTGTTGTTGGCAGTTGGGGTTTTAACTTGAGACTTAACTATGAGAAATTTTATTTTATTTTTTTTTCCTTCGGTAGGCTGACCCAAAGATCACTATGTGGCTCAAACTGGCTTGGCAGTTGAGGTAATCCTTCTGCCTTAACATTCTATGTGTCTAGATTACAGGCACCATTGGTTATTTATGCTGTCTCTCTATTTGTGCTTGGTAAGGAGGCTTGGCAACATTTCCAAGCAATCAGAGAAAAGATTTAGAACAAGATGTTAAGGATAGGAGAATTCTGGCATCTTGTCTATAATTGAAAATCAGCTTTCAGGTACCACAAAAGCCAGTTAGTCCACACCCACTCGATTT